GCCAATGGACAGCAATCCGTTATGGATTCGATAAAACATTTGACTTACGCTAATATCATACCAGCAAGAATTGTGAACAGTCAAACTCTCCAGTACATTTTAGTGGCATAAATCATGTTAGAGAGCTTGGATCGTACCTCAGTACCAAAAGTAAAGCAAAATCCACCGAACTTTGTTTATCATCTCAAGGCAATGGAAATGATGGTGTACGATCTTTAAGATAAAATTGCTAAAAACGTCAGACAACTGAAGAATGATGAGGGTGTAAATCTTTATCATTATTATAAACTGAACATTGAAAACCCTACGGGCTCAGATGTGGCAAATAATTATGTGCTCTATTGAAATAAAAGACACAGACCATGCAAGCTGTCGATTTTTTTCTACTTTTTATTAATAACAAAACAGAAAAATTCTTATCAATACACATCATGAACAGTTCTTATTCTAGCAAATATTTTTGATAGAAAATGTCAAAGCACTTTAGGGATTTATTTTAAACACCGTACAGGCATAGACCTGTTACATAAAGCAATCGTTTTAGCATCGAACAGCATTCATAAAGTTTTCTTTTTTCTGTTACACTACGTTCCATGGATTTATATTCTATTATTTTTTTATTGCGACTGGTGTAATTGTGAAAGCAAAGTGTACCTTCATCAAAAAGTACCATTTGCTAGATTGTAGTTACAAGAGGATTATTAGTGTTCCAGTTGGTGATCCAAATGATAGAGTCAAAATAGCTTCATTCAATGGCAACAAAAATTCGTTTCATCAACGAGATAGCTGTCCTTCTTACATGCGCTAACCTGTCGTACATTGATCTTCGTGAAAACCCTCTGTTCTGTCCTGCCCAATTCACCTTTCGGAAAAGCTTCTTCTTTTTCTTCATTTTCTGAGTCGGTTTCCATCAAATCCATCGAATTGTTAATTCCCTCATGTCTTGACGTTCATTCAATATATTTTTCTACCAAATTTAGATGGACGAATGTAAACAAAATAGCATCCGAGACCGCTTCGTGTGTGGTGAGGGGTAAACTGTGGGAATATTCCAGTGTCAGAAGTTCCCAGTGGAACCCGTAGGGTATGGTATTGGCCCGTCTAATATTATAATAATTTTGGCCGCGAAAATGAACTCGCCTTCTTCAATTTCATTGGTCAAATCTCCCAAATAGTCCCCCGAAGGAGGAGGCATTGGTGAATCGGGCTTTGCAACAAAATTGCAGCTGTCTGTGTCCGCATAAATTGAGTTCATTCCGAGCAGATCTAACAAGTTATATAATTCTAAACGTGCACATGCGGTTGTAAAAATACCTATGAAAATATTTTTTGCCTTATTTTCTTTTTGAAACTCATGATCACGCTTGTATACAACTTCAACTAAATCATCATTCAGCAATTGCATATCATGAATTTCAATGCCTGCACTATTTAGTCGTTTGTAGAAGACAAGTGCATCATTAATAAACTCAGAATTAACATATCATTACGTTGTGCAAATTTACCACACAGTGAATTTAAACAAATCTTTGATAGTGCTTTCAACACTGGATTTTTTACAATTTTTTCTTTACGTAATAGAATTCTCTCATGCTTCAGGTAGTCATTGATTTATTTTGCCTGCTCTGCAGCCGTAATAATCCAGTTTGGCCATCCTGCTTTAATTGCAAAAAGAAATTGACACATGTTGGAAACAATTAAAATCTTTGTTAATCATCAACAAAATATACATGTGGAATTGCATAAAAACTCAAGCACTGCAGATCATTTGCATTAATTCGACAATCGTTTTGCAGCCAGAGATAGAAAAAAAGAACCAAGGAAAAAAATGGTTTCTATTGAGAAGCACAGATGCTTTTGCAAAAACAGTGGTCTGAGACGTTTTACTTCCAACGAGGGCCGCGTCTTCCTAAAGTGCGCCAAAGAAAAATGTAATTTATTCACGCCCGAAGAAAAGTACTTGCAGCTTATAGACGTGTACGATAAGAATGTGCTGAAGGAATTCAAGCCGAACCGTTTTCCACTCTGCGAGTGCCAAGTGTTTGCATGTCTGTGGGTATCGAGCTCGGCCAACAATCCTGGCCGACCTTACTTTTGCTGTAAGTATATGGCAAGTGAAAAGAAATGTTCATTCTTTCATCGGGCTGACGAATCGTTGAAAGTCATTGGAAAAACTAAAAAACCAGCAGCGCCCAAAAGAGAGTCGAGCACCAAGGTACCAAAAGCTGAAGAATCAAGCGCTCCAAAATAATTGTCAAAAATTCATCCGATGATGAAGAAAACTGATGTCCAAAGACATAATTTACAAACTTTAAATTTATAAATTCCATATAATCTTGATGTGTTTGCAATACAATCTATGTATGAATTTAAATTTCAAAACTATTTTTTGCTTATTACATTATGACATGCGCAATGACGATCTCTGTAGGGGGCAAAGTACTATAAGAAAAGGGCAAGGTTGGCTCTATTTTACATCAAGTTAGCTTTACAAAGAGTGATCAATAGTAGTTTCTTAATTTGTTTTGATATGGATTCATATGACCTGCGTTTGAAGAAACGTGCTGAGCGTAAAAGTGCGAAGGCAAAACGTCTTATAAGAAAAATCCAGAAAGAATTGGCTTAGCCAAAATCGGACTTACGCAAAGTCTTACGTTGGCAAGAAAAATCTGCCAAGCTACTAGAACAAAAGTTCAAGCTGCTGAAAAAAATAGATGACCGTTTGGCTGATGTCTCCGAAGACATAATACATTTCAATATGGAGAATATATCCAAAAAATACGTGAAAAAGTTTGGTGCATCAGCGTGTGTTTTCAGGGCTACGATGGAAAGACCTAGAGATGATAAAGAGTACAAGATTAAAGATATTGTTAAGGAATTAAACGAACTTTTTGCCAATACAATTGATCAGGTATAAGAAAATACTTCTCTATTTTCATGCTTTTCCCTCACATAGCTTAAATCAAGAAAATGTTCTTTTTTTGCTTGCAGGTAAAGAAAGCGTGTGATTTAGTCACACCTCTAGAAGACAGAATACGAATCATGATCCGCTCAAGTGAAGTCAAGTCCCCCATAAGCACATAACTGTTGCCTGCAAGTCAGATGACTTCAAACCGGGTGATGTCCGAAATAACGAAAGTTTTGCAGAGTAATGAAAACATCCCTTTGGATCAGTCGCTAACTGTTGATGTTGTTGCTGTAAGACTGCCGACAGGGTCCGTTAAAAAACATTCTACTTCATTAAAAGTCTTACATTATAGCAAAGACAGCCTAGTTAAAAAGTCAATTATTACTATACGAAATAAGGATAATTTCTGCTGTGCTCGCGCTTTTGTGGTTGCAAAGGCCATACGGACAAGAATCCAAAACTCAAACAATTCAAGCAGGGTAAAGCTATTCAGAAGCGAGAAGCTTTGAAATTATACAAGAAGGCCAATATTTCCTGCGGTCCTTGGTGTCTCCGTGAATTGTCTAAGTTTCAAGGGGCTCTATTAGATTATCAAATTCAAGTTATTGATTTTAATGCTCGAAATACAGTCATTTACGAGTCGCCGTCGAAGTAAAAAGCTTATTTTATACAAAGAAGTTGATCATTACAATGTTATTAACCCTGCGAAACATCCGGCGTTTCCACTGTGAACGTTTCTACTGTGACAAATGCTTTCAGTTCTTCAAAAATGGTTTAAGTCACCCTTGTTATAATGTCTGTAAAACGTGCACACAAAAAGACTGCGTTGAGATTTCAGATGAAAGACATATGTGTTCGGATTGTTTCAAGATCTGTCGCTCTACTGCATGTTTTAATCGTCATAAAAAATTGCGTCGGTCCAAAGGGGTGGACTTGCCATTAATGTGTGACAAGTCGTTTCGATGTCAAAAGTGTTCATCTATAGTTGACAAAGATAGACAAAACGAGCATCGCTGTGGGGAAACTGTATGTCATATATGCAATAAGTTTGTACTTGATGATCATTTAGGTTTCATGCAAACGGAAGACCCAAAACCCAAGAATGATAGTCTAATATTTTACGATTTTGAGACAGATTTTTCAACCGGAGAACATGTGGTTAATTTTGCTGTTGCACAATATTTAGACGGTACAGAATTTGTTTTCAAGGGTTACAACGCATTAAACGAGTTTTGTTCCTTCTTATTTTCAAGAGAACATAAAGGTTTTATAGGAATTGCCCATAATGCTAAGGCATTTGACGGTGTTTTCATTCAGAGATGGTTAATTGAATACAGACCGACTGCTGATATACATGTCATTAATTCGGGACAGAAAATTATGCAACTGACAGTGAAAGATTATCAAATCCGTTTAATTGACTCGCTGAACTTTTTACAAATGCCTTTAGCTAAATTTCCTAAAACATTTGGACTCGATGAAACAAAATTTTCCAAAATTAGAAAATCAAAATTATGTTGGCCCAATACCTGATATTAAATATTACAGTCCTGATTCAAAGCTCGAAAAAGATCGCACTAAATTGATTGGGTGGCATGAAGAACGAAAGAAAAATAACTTTGTCTTTGATTTCCAAAAGGAAATGGCTAAATACTGCTCTCAAGACGTTACCATACTGCGTTTATGTTGTTTGCAATTTAGGGATTTATTTCTCGCAGCGACTAAAGTTGATCCATTCTGTTATTGTAACATTGCAGCAGCCGTAATGGCAATTTATCGGTCAAAATATCTTCAACTAAACACAATCGGAATCGTACCAAAAAATATGTATCGAAATTCAAATAAACCCTTCTCTCAAAGCGCAATCGTGTGGCTTGAATTTGTATCTGCGCAAACTAACTGCAACATACAACACGCTCTCAATGGCGGAGAAAAAAAAAATTGAAGATCCGGAATTAGGTAAAGTGTACTATGTCGACGGCTTTTGTGAAGAAACAAACACTCTATTTTCTTTTTATGGCTGTCTCTATCATGCATGCGCCCATCTTGTTACGATTTAAGAAACGATCATTCCTTTTTTAATGAGAAACAGATGGCTGACGTATTTGATGAAACAATTAGACGGCAAAATAGACTTTTACAATTGGGTTACGAGGTTAAGACGATTTGGGAGCATGACTATTGCAAACTTAAGGAAACGGACGAAATGAAACATTTTTTGGATACAAATGGCATTATAACGAATCTTGAACAACGCGATGTGTTTTTTGGTGCCAGAGTCAATGGGTTTAAGCTTTTTAGGGATGCCCAACAAGATGAAACAATTGAATACGTTGATTTTACATCGTTGTATCCTTACGTTAACAAAAGAAAGTTTATCCTATAGGTCATCCAACAATTATTCGCGAGAATTTTGAAACAATTTCGAATTATTTCGGACTAATAAAATGCAAAGTTTTAGCACCCAGAAATTTGTATCTTCCAATTTGACCTGCACGAATAAAGGATAAACTCTTTTTTCCTGTATCTAAACAGTGTGTTGTACAAAACTCTTCAGTGTGTACTCATTCGGAAAATGAGCGTGCTTTTTGGTGCACTTTTACCACAGTTGAGGTGTTGAAAGCTATTGAAAAAGGATATAAGATTATTGAAATTTTTGAAATTTGGCACTTTGAAAACACAAGCTCAGATTTGTTTTCGGATTATGTGAATTATTTTCTCCGTATAAAGCAAGAGAGTTCAGAATTTCTGAGTCGTATACAAACTCCTGAGGACAGACAGAAATACGTGGCCGACTATTATGAAAACGAGAGAATACTGTTAAGGCATGATAAAATAGACTACAATCCAGGCTTAAGAGCACTGGCTAAGCTATGTTTTAACAGCTTGTGGGGTAAATTTTGTCAAAAAGACAATCGACTAAATACAGAATTCATTAATGATCCTCCACATTTCTACAGACGTTTGAACGGGGCCGATATTGAAATGCACGATCTTTGCATCTTGAATGATGATTTAGTCGAAATTGTCTTTAAGAGAAAGCATGAGTATGAAGTAGAAAACAAACTAACAAATATCTTCATAGGAATTTTTACAACTGCATGGGCTAGATTGGAACTTTACAATGTGATGGATCTGTTGCAAGAGAGCCTTTTATATGTAGATACGGACAGTTGTATTTATGTAAATAAACCCGGGGGTCCAAGGCCACTCTTAGAGGATTACCTGGGGCATTTAACAAACGAAATCACTCAAGAACATGGGTTAGGTAGTTACATTAATAGATTTGCATGTGGGGGTCCAAAAAATTATGCGTACGTTGTAAATTATGGGAAAAAAACATTGTGAGATACGAGGTTTTACTTTGAATTTTAAAAATAGCTAAATTCTTAATTTTGATTCTATGTATGAAATGATATGTAACTATGTACGTTCAGATGACGAAAATAAGAAAAATAAAATAGATGTTGTAAATAACAGTAAAATAACACGAGAAAAATGGCCCGTCGGCTTGTCAACAAGAAAGAAGTAAAGCAGTATCAGATCGTCTGCGACAAAAGAATAATTGTCAACTCTGGTGAAGACACAATGCCATACGGATATTATTGGTCACCAGCGTCTAATTCTGCTAGTCCGTCTGTAAAGCCCATTATACGTCTTCCTGATTCAATGCTTTATACAATGGTACAGCCCACGGCACTAGGGTGTAAAGTAAATCTTAGCTGTGTTGATGACAAAGCTAACGATGAGACATGTAGTGATGAAGAAATGGAAGACGTTTTGGTCAGGGGCGGATCTAGGATTTTTCAAACATCAGTCATAAAACGTCGGAGGCGCTCCGCACCTGGGGGGGTCTGAGGCTATCTCTCCTGAGAAATTTTTAATTTCAGAGCCTTGAAAATGCCATTTTCAGCGTTTTAGAGCATTACAAAATGTATTTTGTGGGAATCGTTTTTGCGTAAATACAACACATTTTGGTTACGTTTTTTTCAAAAAAAAAAAAAAATGAAGTGAACAATACTTGAATGTTTTGCCAAATATTTAGGCTCATTATGCCAAATATATGGCTCATTAGCATGTCTAGGAAAGTAAAATTTATTTTACAATAATGCTATATTCAAAAACAGATATAACCTTTAAAAATTTCTACCAAGTTGTCAGGCATAGACCCCCCTAGAGACCCCCATTCAAACCTCTATGTAATGAGTTAAGTTAGAAATTTGGTACTACAAGTGACAGTTCATAGATATAGAAAAGCTCAGACTTCAAACCTTGCAAGTTTATTGTAACCCTTTACCCATCTCCACATAAGTATTAGCAAATTCACCTTTTGAGAAAAAACTCAAAATTTTTTTCTGCCAAAGATTAAGCAAAAATTATCAGAGTGAAAATTTGCAGTTAAGGACAGCTTAATGCCATAAATGTTTATTAGGCATTTCACTTGACTATTATCTTCTGCAAGGTGTGCTATATAGCAATCACTAGTAGCATTGTATTATCAAATACAAACAGAATGTAACCAACATGTCTTTAATTATATAATTACACGAATGTTAAAATTGGTTCATGTGTCATGCTTACTGGTTATGATAAATATCTTTTCATATGATCAAAGCTCGTTTAAAAGTAAATCTGAAATAATTTAGTTTAGAAATTATAATGATCATCAGAAAAATTACCTAGTGATCATGAAAAATACTTTGCTGTTTTGCCAAATTTCAAGGTTTATCTGCATACATAGGAAGACATTTTTACTTTATAGAAAATGCTTTTCATACATCAATAACCCTTTGGAATTTATGGCAAACAATCTGGTATGAGCCGTAGATTAACACACCTTTACATCTCTACATGAGGTGTTCAGTCAGAAAAGGGGACAATATGTGACATGGGACAACATTTCATGTATGTGAAATACTAAGGTTTAATACCATTCCAGTCAAATTGTCAAAATAAAAAGCTTCATGGATCAGAAGACTCAAAATCACAGGTTATAGTAAACAGCTTCTCATGTAATCAATGTTAGTTTTCTCAAATCTTAAACAATATGTAGTATAACTGTCTAATAATTGAATGATCAACGATCATAAACTGAAAAGCCCCAAACATTTGTTTATGATAAAGTAAATAATAGTATGGCGCCTTATGGCTACAGATTTTTTGTCCATTGAAATATATTTGCAGGAATGTAGGATTTCGCTGCCATATAACGGTCACGATTCCCCAAGCACTAAAGAAATCATAGCTAAAAGTCCTTCGTCAACAACAATTTTAGCAGCATCAATCTGTTTACCATACGCCATATTAACATAAATCGCATCACACACTCGCATAAATTGACTTTGATATATTACATTCATGCATACACTTCAGTTGACCTTTACTTACGATTTTGGATGTAAATTTCTACTGATAAAACTCAAAACAATGTTGGCTTGCTTTTGAACATCAATGACTGAAATGTCGCTCGCGAGATCGTCTTTGCAATTTATCCATAAATTTTTCACCCTCTTGAAAAAATTCACAGTTTGGACAGCAGCATTCATGTCAATATATGAATTTGTAAAAGATTTCCATAAATTCCATCTGATTGTAGTTTAATTTCTATCATGCTTATAAAAATTACTATGAAACGACCAAACATTCAATTCAGACAGTGAGCTTGACTATGGGTATTCAGACAGTGAGCTTGCCTCCTTGTTCAGTAGGCTATCAGTCGAAATCCGTCAAACCAATCACAATAAAACAAAAATTCAAATGAACCAATTGTAAGATAGCAATTGGACTCCCTTATACGTCCGGCCACCCCTATTATCAGTCGAGACCATTCCAGACTGTCCACTGATCTGACCATTGACCAATAAAATAAGCGTTTTTGGCGTTCATAGACTCCTTTATCTGTCGAACCAGTCAAGCCACCCCGCTTATCAGTCGGTTATTCCAGGTCAATTAAAATTCAACTGATCTGCTTACCAACGAGATATTCATTGGATTAGTTATTAGTTTTCAGTAATCAATAAAGCTGGATTTTTATCACGAAGTAAATGCGATAATAAAGTAAGAATAATTAATGAATTTTTAATTAATATGAATCGGTAATTTTTGAGTTTCAAACATCAGTCGCGCGACGGATTTGACATACTCTAGATCCGCCCCTGGTTTTGGTGTATAAAGATGTTGTTAAGGATGGCAATGACGGTGACATGATTTTTGAGAATGAAGAAAACGCAAGCGATATTAGTTTATTGGAAACTGACGACGAGGAAGATATGGATTTTGAATCAGAGAACGAATATGATAAAACATTTATAAACGACATTGAAATGTCTGAAGATGAAAATAACGTTTCTTTTTATCGAAGGTTTAACAGTAATTATTAATTTAATGCTTATTGACATCGTATTAATATTTTCAAAGATACATTTCAAAAGTAGTTAATCGATGTCCATCATATTTTCAATGTTCAATTTATAATGATGAATATCTACACCCTCATTCTCCAATTGTTTGATATTTTTCGTAATTCTATGTTGAAGGTCGTGGACCATTACTTCTTTTGCATTTGCACGATAAACGAAGTATGTTGCATGTTGCATTGCTTTTGGTACTGAGACACGATCCAAGGTTTCTAACATTATTTGTGCCAATAGAATGATGTGAAGGCTTTGACTGTTCATAATTTTTGTTGGAATAATATTGGCATATGCCAAATGTCTAATCAAGTCTGTTATACAATGTTGACTATTGCTTCCTTGAGTTGAAGAAACCCAACTTTTCACAACGTCTTGCCATGTGAACGACATGATTAACCAATCAATTGATGAAAGAAAATGTTTGTGATTGCTTATGTGCTTAGTGTTTTAGAGTCGAACATCCAATCAGCTTCTTGTTGATTAAGTATTTAACTTGTTTATAGAGTATATTTAATTGATACATGCAAGATGGTATATAGTCTGTTGTAAAACAATTCTGTTTTCATTTGCAAGACAATGGACGTGCGTTTTAACACACCAGCTAACTTTTACATTTGCGGGCAAAGCCAATCTGGTAAGAGTCATCTCGTTAGGTCGATGCTTTATAATTTGAGGCCCTGTCTACACGTATCCGGATAAATTTGAAAACGCAAAACTTTTTTTAAGGTATTAAAAACTTCCGCGTCCACACGTAATCGTTTTCGGATCGTTTTCGCCCGTCCACACGTATCCGGATAAATTTGACAACACTGATAAAATTCAATTTGAGCATGCGCTTCAGACAAGATGAGCCTGCAAATAACGTGTACGTATATGTGCTTTCTTGACACTTGACATTCTTCTGCGCATTGCTATTAAATACAATTCAAAAATTATGTCAAACGCATTAGAAAATTCGTCCAAATCCAAGAAGAGCAAAACCGAAAACTTTGTGTGGACCGACGATGAAGTGGAGCTCCTTTTAAACGTTGTTCTTGAGTACAAAACTGCAATAACTGCGGAGAATGTTGACTGGGAGACATGCCAATCTAAATATTCTGATATTTTGAATTTACTCCTCGCTCAGTATCCATCTGAACATGATGCAGCCCAAATTGAAAAAGAGTTTCTTCACCAGAATAATGAAGTCAATAAGTCAATTATTACTTCAAAACTAAAAGCTATCAGACTCAAATTCCGCGCTGCTGTTGATTGTGGTAAGAAAAGTGGGCATGGAAGAGTTGTGCTGATTTATTTCGAGAAATGTCAGGAAATATGGGGTGGCTCACCAGCTACGACTACAATGGCATCTGGAATAGAGACGCAAGAAATTCAACAAGAGTTTGACTCAAGTTTAATATGTCCCAGTCCCGCCAACTCTATTGGTACACCCATAGCTTCCTCAACATCCAGCAGCCCTCATACCGAAATACCTACTCTTGACGATGAAGGAAATGAACGAAACTGTGTTTCTGAACGAAGAGAATTTTTAAATTCTAAATTGAAGAATTATAGACAAAACAGATTAAAGAGAAAGTTATCAACAGACGAACAACTCCTGAATGCCATGCAGGAAGATCTTGAAATAAAAAAACGTCTTCTTGAAAAGATGGACGAAGTGGATAAGCAGCAGGCTACCCAAATGAAGAAATTCTCGCAAAATATGGAACAACTTACTGGGTGTATTGTGGAAGGTTTTTCTATGCTTCGCCAAGTAATGCTGCATCCTCAACCATTACCTCCCCAATTTGCAACTCCGCTTACTGGTTACAACAGCAACTGGGACAGACCACAGGCTGCACAACCGATGAATGTAGAAAATAGCACATTGCACTTTAGTCAGTTTACAAATGAAAATTTTTAATATAATATGCATTACTGAAATGAGCATAGAGTGATGTGTATATTTTATAAGGTTGTAGTTACTTAGTAACAAATATTGCATAGTGAGATGAAAATAGTTTGGGTTAAAATAAAAAATAGGTTTTGTTAAATCATTGTTCATTGAAGTTTTGGTTTGTCTATGGATCAAAGTACCTTGTCAATATCCTTCTGATTTTTTTACCTTCAGCTTCATTACAGTCAGTTCTGAATTTATTGTTGGCAATAACTAGCTGAAATTGTTTGTCATACTCGACAGAAGCAGTGACCTTTTCTTCTGCAATTCTTTCACCACTAATTTCACAAAAATTATGTAGTACAAAGCATGCATACACCACAAAAGGTAGCTCATCAAGATTAATATCCATTGGACGCTTTAAAGCTGCAAAACGAGCTTTGAGTCTACCAAAAGCACATTCAATGACCATCCTTGATTGGCACAAAGTCATACCGAAATACTGTTCCTGCTGATTAGACCCACCATTTGAATACTCCTTCATCAAGTACGGCATTAATGGATATGCAGGGTCGCCTAATATAAAAATAGGAATTGGATCTTCATCAGTTAAAATCTTGCGTTGACATGGTGGTATCTTGCCATTCTTCAACAATTGGTTTCGGCTGGAATTTGAAAAAACCCTTGCATCATGCACACTTCCAGGCCATTTCACAACCACATCCATAAAACAGTATTTATGGTCACATATAGCTTGCACATTCAAACTGTAAGTACCTTTTCGGTTAATATAGTCAGTAGGATTTTCTTGTGGCTGCTTTATTGGAATGTGTGTTCCATCAATTGCACCCAAGCACTGTGGAAAACCATGTGCTCTGTAAAAATTGTTCACTTTTTCTTGCACATTCTCTTCAGTAAATGGCAATGTTACATACTTTGGTCCAAGGTGTATTGTTATTGCCTTGCATACCTTTCTCACAATTTTGGAAACGGTCTGTCGAGAAATTCCAAACGCATTTGCAGTCTTTCTCATACGACCTTCATCACTGAGATAATATAGTGTGATAGCAACTTGGGTCAACACATCAACAGGAGATCTCATGATAGTTTTTTCCCCTTGGATGTAGGGTCTTAATTCTTCGGCTAGTCTGTCAATGGAAACTCGAGACATTCTAAAATTTTCTCGCCATTCTTCCGGGACTACTAGTTCACGTATAAAACCGTTCCACCAAGCATTTGTTCTTCCAGGTCGAATCCAAAATCTTCGTTTTTTCCTTTGACGCTTCTTGCCTAACCGCTTGACAATCCCCCTTCCGGTACCAAGCAACGAAAGCTGACGAATAATATTCATACGATTTCGAATATATTCTCCGTGAGAATTCAACACCGCATTATAAAGCTGGACGCATGATATTATGCTTGAAATAAGGCAAATCAATATCGCAACAACCTTTCGTGTTTCCGCCATGTTTGACCAAATAATAGTTATACGTCATCGTTTCTGTATTTTTACGGTTTCACCCGTCCACACGAGACTAATTTTTTTCCGTGTTCCAAAAATTCCACTCTGGACAGCGTTTTCAAAAGTATACGGTTTGTGTGGGCGTTTTATCCGGATACGTGTGGACGGAACGTACATCCGTAAAAAAAGTTTTGCGTTTTCAAATTTATCCGGATACGTGTAGACAGGGCCTGAATGAGCTGTTTCGCCCACTTCCAAGTAAAATCATTTGCTGCTATGGCGAACCTCAGATGGAATTTGACGAAATGGTTAAAAGGATACCGAATGTAATTTTTGTTGAAGGGTTCCCTGACAACTCGACCGATATTTTGGAAGGATGTCAAAACTCTTTAGTCATTGTAGACGATCTTATGTCAGAATGTTCTAATGATCAACGAATGTCTGATTTATTCACCCGTGGGTCATATCATCGAGGGATATTTGTCATGTATTTAACGCAAAATTCATTCCCCCCGGGTAAACAATAAAGAACGATAATCCTTAACTCTCATTATATGATCATTTTTAAAAACCCGAGAGGTATTTCAACTTTGGCCCGTCAAATGTACCCAAAAAATGTCAACTACATTTTGGAGTCATTTCAAGACGCTACGAGTCGTTCATACGGTTATCTCATGCTCGATTTACATCAATTAACCACTGACAATTTGCGTGTCAGAACAAACATTTTGCCTGATGAAAAGCACATTGTGTATGTACAAAAGCGATATGTATCTACAGAAACACTCATAAACGCATCACGTCGAAACGAATGAAGAACTATATTCCTTATCTGCAAGTTCTAGCTAAATCAAAACAAAAAGTTCGAAAGGCGATAATTGATCATGGACCCTCCGACGTTATTGTGTGCATATGTGAATGTGCTATCATTGCTTTAAAAGGAACTGTCCCAGTATCAGCCAGTCAAAAGCGACTGTTGTCAAGGTACAAGAAACACCTGAGAGCACTAGCTAACAAAAAAATCTCACGAGCAAAAGAAGAAAAAACTTTTGAATCAGAAAGGTGGAAATTTACTGACTGCTTTACTTCCGCCTGTTATAAGTGTATTGGGAAGTTTGTTCACAAAATGAAACTTGTCAAACGTATGATTCTTGTTCCTGAAGATTTATTTAACAGATACGAAAAACAACGAAAACTTGAAACTAGTCCGATCATGATGAATATGATGAATAAAGATTCGCAGCTCTCACATATTCTTCAACAAGACGACATGAGTGACGATCAAAGACAAAAACTTTTTAACGCAAACTTTGAACAATTCCTTAAATTGAAGCAACAGAAAGATCATCAGATACCCATGGTACGCGTGGTAGACACTGTTGATAGGAATGAAAAAAACATAATAAGTGACAACGAAAATCAGACATTAGCTGACTCTGTCATTGTACAAAGTGTGCCAAAAACTATGCGTGAGCGGGCGAAAGCAATATTGCAGCGTCTTAGAACACACCCATGTATAATATCTTGGGACGGTTCTGGACAAGTCAAACTTGAGTCACCATTCCGCAATCAAACATAACAGATCTAATTATCGATGCTGTGAGAGGAAGGAAAAATTTCAATCCTCAAGGGTCTAAAGAATTCTTTTGTGTTTTATCAAAAATAAACATTCCTCGAGATTTGGTTATGAACGATATGAGATGGAAGGACGCTCAAATGGAAACTTCACCACGTGAAGAAAACGAAACAGTTTATCCTAGTTCATCAAAAACGAAATTGACAACGCCCAAAGCTTCCTCTACACACAAGAAAACTCATTTACGTTTGTTAAGCTATTAATATGTCTTGTAAAGGATTTTTTCTTTAAATAAAAATCGCAGTTGATATCATTTTCCTCATTGTTGTCAATTAAAATAAGTAAATACAAAATGCAAGCAATTAAGTCACACAAAGAACTTTTTATTGATTATTAAACACTTCAATCTTTTACAAGTAAGTTTTTACTTGACTGATTTCCATCGTTAGGGATTACACTAGTTTCTATTTGAAAATGTTTGTTTACAAAATTCGATACCTTCTTATCGTTTTCAACAGTATTACCATCAAATATGCTTACAATTCTACTCATACTATGGCCTCGCACTCTTTGGCTTAGGTAAAATATACAATATTGTCCACATACATCGGTCCAAATACTTTGTAATTTGCGTGCATTAAAATCCCAATCATAATGCTTCAAATAGTCTCTAAAGAATTTATGATAAATCTTAGGCGACTGGCCATAGCTGTCGAAGAATTCGGCTTTTCGTTCAGACGGAAAGTAAAATGCAACCCAATGACTTCCAGGTTTTCCGCTGATATCGGTGTTTGCTATAAGCCCATTCGGATAGCTTTTGATTACTTTAGGTAAACGATTGGCTGGAAAAACACCAAGAAATTTCTTGCTTGTAACAGGATCCAATCTCAAAACAGACGATATTTGTGAGGTGTCCATTTAACTAATGTAGTCATAGACAACATTCCTCTCATAATCGCTAAAGATTACATTCTCAAACTCTCCATATCTGACAAGCTAACAGCAATAGTTGGTGCTATTGAGAATTGTATGTCAATGGCAAGATTTCTTTTTTGCACTGTATTAAAATGTCCATTTTTGAAGCTTCGTCCTTGTAAAACAACGCAGCTGTCAGCTGGGATTGTTTAGCTGATGGACCATATTTTAAAAGTGTATCGATATATGCACGATAAGGATAAGTTCCTGTCGCTTGGGTTACTGGCTTCCCTTTCAAAAACACATCAACTTGCTTAAAGAAGCAAGAAATTGTTCACCGGCCCTACTTTAGCGCCATCGTCGAGATTTCCACCGTCAGCTTTCGTTACTTTTTCTCTGACCATCATTATTGTGTTAGACTAATCAACATAATCTTCTGTACCTGCCGCTAAAAAGGTAATCGGACCGCTTTCAGATACACTAGAGACAGGTGGATGGTCTATCCATCGCCCCTTTTCCAAACTGGGTTTGCGTTTTGTACATTCTGCTGATTTTGGATGAACGAACTGCATATTTAACCGAAAATATCTTCTGCCTCTTTAGCTGCTTTATGTCTCTTGGCTGAATGGTAAATGACATGAGAAGACGATGCTTTTCTCTTTTTAGCTGTTTTTTTGCCTGTTTCTTCTGGGGTTTTCCTCTTCCTGTTTGAGCAAACTGTTGTATACGGTTTACAGCTTTTTTCTCTGTTTCCTTTGCTGCTTGATTAATACGAGATTTTGCAGACTTTTTAAAACTTTTCCCTGATATAACATCACCCAAAACGTTTGCACCTGTATCGAGGGCAATTTTACCTAGAGTTTTTGCCAAAGGTATTGCAGCTCTAGCCAATCTACGAAATAAACCACCAAGACCATAGCCCATCTGCCCATAACCTTTTTGCCAGGATGCTTCCCTAAATACAGGTTGTCATCCGTATCCTTTTTGCTGATTGAGATAATATTGAACATAACGGTTTGTTCTACTCATATTTTTTCCTTATGTAAAATAAGATAAGGCTTGTTTTCTGAAATGAGGTGTCACTATCGACTTCCCTCGTTCAAATGCGATGGGATTTCATAACTCGTCCCTTAAGAGAATTTCAATGTCCTCAAAAGATTTTGTTTGCACGGGTAAGTATTGGATATTAGTGAATGTTCTTGAAACAATGTCTCCATATTTTCCTTGAATAGCAACTGCCTTTAGTAATTTTACATTGACGTCTCCAACAACTTGCGGTTGTACAATGTTGCAATATACATACATCATGACGGATCCGTACAAATCAGAAGCATAAGGACTTTCGGTTGTTTTTGAAATCTCTACGTCTTTTCCGCCAAAACCGAGTAAGACCGACATTTGTTGATTAAATGATATTCTGTAACCCTGTCTTACATGCACTTTAACTTTTTCTGTTCGGGGGTCAAAGCTCAATTTGATATTGTCTTTTACTTCTTTGTCAAGAGTCTCATTAACTGATTTTACTAGGTCGAAGGCTTTTTCATACAAGCCGACAAATACCGGAGTAGGTAGACCTGATTTGTAAGTTACATAGTGGGTTGAAACACGTGGCAATGACGAGTAGTATTAATTCACAATGGCGGGCGCCCAAGAGGAAGAAAATTTAATGAAAGAATACTTTAGTAAAGGCTTCAAGTACGACGAAATTATCGAGCTATTGAGCAAAAACCACTCGGTAAAAATGAGCATCGCAACTCTTAAAAGACGTATAAAACTGTACGGCCTTCAAAGGAAAAATGTCGATTATGAAATCAATGTTGTTAGAGAGAAAATTAGAAAGATTTTGGACGGACTGGTTGTATAGGAGGTTACCGGCACGTATGGCATGCACTTAAGTTGCAAGGTATTTCTGTACAAAGAAGTGTTGTCCAGCATTTACTAAAACAACTCGATCCTGAAGGGGTAGAGCAGAGAAAGGCTCACAAACTTCGCCGGAGAACATATCACAATCGTGGGCCGAGCGATGTTTGGCACTGTGACGGTTATGATAAGTTAAAGCCATTCGGCTTCCCCATTCACCCGTGTATTGATGGTTGGAGCAGAAAGATATTATGGTTATACGTCACGCGTTCCAATAATCTACCACAAAACATAGCAGCATATTACCTTGAAGCAGTTCAACAACTGAACGGATGCCCCATGAAATTAGTGACCGATCTTGGTACAGAGAATGGTATCATGGCTTCATTACAATCTTTCTTTCGAGAAGATATTCACAGTCATCGTTACGTGCCATCACCAAGAAATCAAAGAATAGAGGCTTGGTGGTCTTATTTCAGACGTAGTAGGATTACTTGGTGGATAAATTTTTTTAAAGATTTAGAAGAGCAAGAAATATTTAATCAGGCAAGTGAATTGCAATCTGAATGCCCCTGTTTTACCTTTGCACCACTTCTACAAGCGGATTTAGATTATGTCAAAGAGCACTGGAACACACATTATATAAGGAAGTCGC